TACAATAGATCCTTTGTTATCTTAATCGAACTCACCTAGTTACGCCGGAATCACAATCCGGTTCCCAGGTCAAAACAAGTATCAACTAACCTCCGACAGGGGTAGCATACAGCGTCACGAGGAAATTAACCGATTGAATGAACTTACACTGAGTCGAAAGTGAAGCACAACTGAAATTTCATATACCTTGGTAAATCAGTGGGTGATTTGAGCCGACAAAACTGCTTAACTGCAAATCTACGTGCTCCTCCTCACCAAAACATGGTTTTTCCTCAGCACATGACAACTGTATGGGCCATTCGATGTACGAACAGATTTAAACGCGCACATTTTAATAACGCTCGACACATTTTCTTGCATCCTCACGGGCACCATGGAGCAGTGTGAATGAACTTGCCGTTTTTACCAAGCAGCTGTCTTTCCGAGATCGACACATTAGGATTTCCGTGCTACTGGCGCTTTTTAGCGTATGGTACGCCGCCGGAATCGACTGTGTCCGTCCCACAGCTAACTGCTGAATCTGTGGAAGGCAAGTCGTAAGTTTATTAAGTCAAAGCCACCTCATGAAAGACAAAATTTAACACCTACCGGACCAAAATTGCAATCCAACATGCGGCGCAAAATACTTCGAAGAGAGCAACTGGCCTCATTAATTCGTCGATTTCAAGTATTCCAATATTTCACTCTGCTTATTGACCGGACACTCACGGTTTGCAATGAAGTCTAAGGAAGCGTAATCCATGAACCGCTAGCAGACATTTGTCAAAAAGCTCAATCGCACATGATAACTGGAATGGCGTTTAAAGTTTAGTTCGGTGACTAATCTTTGCGGTACTAGTTGTGTATGCCGGAACGGTTGGATCATTTGGAGTTACACCGTATAACAGTTCTGTCGCACGAAGATAATTGAAAAGCCATCTTTTACGCGAAACATGATTTCGACATGGATACTACCCTGTATATCTATACAAAAAGAACCAAAGAGCGATGTATACCAGACAGCAGACACTCAACTGCATACCAATATTTACAGGGCACAAACAACAATACAGAAGTAAGAAGACGACCAACGCGAACATGGACTGCTCGTTCAACATACGTAGTCACGAGGTCTTGTTACAAAACAAACATGCGGATGGGTTAGGCTGAGGCAATACACACAAATGAGGGAAGATGCACAAACCACTGTTGAATGCAGCCATCCGATGGGGCTTAAAGTAACAAAGCAATGCACACGCTTCCTTCCGCTATGCGACGTTTTGACAAGATACGCCACCTGCGAACCAGGACATCAGCCTGTCATCAAGCAGCAGACGTTCTACAGACGAACGGTTTTGTGTGGCCAGCCTGACTTCGCACCGCACAGACAAACTTGTCTAAAGCAGAAAGCACCCAGAAATAATAGATCAAAAGTAATCCTGAACACAATGAGATGCGAACCTGTAAACAGCTTCTGTTGAACTCAAATTGCAAAACTTCAATGGGGGGAAACAAAATAATCAGAGGCATACAAAGAATGCTCTCAAGTACTTTGCCTGCCTTCATAACATCCGAATGCCGTATAAAAGTTACAAAACCGATTTCACCTGCCTCCATGATTTTATAACCATGTACTTAACGAAATATCAATGCTCAACACGTCAACGACTATTAAAATGATAATTCAAACATAGAGGTATCAGTGCGAGGTGGATACAGGAAATAACGACATTGCATGCACTTCTCAAAGAAAAAAGCCAAAGTTAGCGCCTGTATCTACATGAAGCCCTGAGAATGTCAGAAAGATTGGTCGCCTCTACCATCCTATCCACTAATCACCAGCTTGCAAGAAAGCTTGGAGCCAACGCAACACGATACCTATTTCACGATCGACTGCCGTTTCATTTGGCACGCACTCCAGTTCTAAGTGCCGATAAGCCGACGATGTTTAAATCTGCGAATTCCTATTTCTTAATTCGCTTCGCAGAACTTCATATAGCTCATAGTTAAAATCCCAAGTCAAACTTGGAACTCGTAATCGAACGAGTACCGAAGGCCGTTTCTCACGTTTTCAGTATTATAATCTGTATTACAGGAAAACTTCGTTGGTAGAAACACCAAAACCCTGAAAAACCTACACTTACTTTTACATGTTGACTCGATTTCCAGCAAGCTGATACGGTCGGCCATACTGCTGTTGTTGGAAAGGAGGGCCTGCTTGCATGTGATTCGGGTTCATCATATTCATCCCCGTTTGGTAACCCTGCATCGGGCCAGGTGCGCCGCGCATGTTGGGATTATACGGCCTCATGTTACCGTTGTCTTGCATAGGCGGGTATGTCCAACCTGGAGAATGAAACTCATCTTTTAGTAACAATAAATTTACCCCATGGATTGGGCGGCATAGCAACGGACATTTGCTGCTGCATAGCATTGTAATGTCGATTCGGTTGAGGTGGGAGTTTGGGTACGGCAGACCCGATGGTTACTTTACAACCATCAATAGTCAGCTCCTTCCCCAATAGCCCGGTCGCAGTTTCGGCATCTTCAAAGGTTACGAAAGCAAACGAACGGAAGGGCTTCGGGACAAACACATCTAAAACCTGACCGAATTGTGAAAAATACTCCCGAAGGACATCCGCTGTCATTTTTTCTGCAATACCTCCAACGTGCACT